ATAGCTGTTATTAAAGCCACTGACTCCAAGCAAGGCTTGTGATTTTCCCCACCTGTATTTGTGACAGAGATGCAAACAGTAATTCTGGATTCTGGTATATCCTCAGCAATCTATCCAAGTCACTCTAGGTCATTTGCGAGACTGTCACAAGGCCTTCAGTAACATCGCCAATGCATTCCTTTTAGCCCTTTGTTGGGAGCAGTTAGAGTTCTCAACAAATTCATAATGCTTTTTAAACCAAGGCAGCACCCTCAGTGCAATAAGGTCTGGTACTAAGCACTTCTTAATTTGTTTGAATAAGAACTTGTATTTCTTGACGATTTCGGGGTGATTTCTTGATTGCCTTCATTTCTGTCCAATTCACCTTGAGCTTCTCAAGCCAAGGTCTGCCAAATAATGATGGATACTTTCTTTCAATCACATATAAGGGTAAAATGACTGATTGTCTATCTAATTGAACTTCCACCTGACGTACCCCTTTTGGGACTAACTTTTCGCCGATATAGGTCTTCAGAACCTTGGAGGTTTCTTCCAGAGGAACTTGTGACAATGTCTGGTGAAAGGTAGATGCAGAAATCAGTGAGATGGCAGCTCCAGTATCAAACTCCATTCTTGTAGGAACTTCTTCAATCAAGAGTGTGATCCAGATGTCATATCTAACTCCAGCGTGCAATAACCCGTGTAGTGCTGGTTCTTGATCAGTGTCATTAGAGCTCGTACCATTTTCCATATTATGAATTCCCAGCTTCCATCCTTTTTTAGGTTCATCCTTCATAGGTTTCTTCTTGGATGTACAGTTACCCTTTGTTGCTGAACTGTGTGGCAGGTCACAGTAATGTGTCCTTTCTTCTGGCATTTTCTGCAAATAACCTGGCATGCCCAGCAATCCTTTTCAGCATGAGTAGTTTGTGCACCGTGGGTACATGGAAAATCCTTACGTTCCCATGATCCTCTGTCTTGCCGACGTAGGAGGTAACTTTCCAGTTCACACTAAATTCCAAATAATTCTTCCCTAAGGTTTCCATGGCAACTGCTACTTCAACAGCCTTCTTGAATGTAAGTGCTAATACAGTCGGTACATCTCCTGGACCTGGTCATTGCATAATCCAAAGACTAATTGGTCACGCAGGGCATCACTTAATATTTGTCCAAACTGACAATGCTCTGACAACTTCCTTAGAGCAATAGTAATCTGTGCTACCAACTCTCCACTGCTCTGATTTCGCTGATGAAATCGGTATTGTTCTGCTATCATCGATGGGATAGGAGAAAAATATTTGTGCATTGCTGCTGTAATTGCAGTGTACGTGGCAGTTCTGGGAACAGTTGGAGACAATAGGTTATGCAGCAGGCCATATGCCTTTGGACCCATTATTGTCATTAAGGTTGAAACTCTTTGTCTGTCAGGAATGGTGCTGTAGGTTACAAATTACTCAAAACATCGAGGTACACCACCCATGAGTCACGGCTGTCATCAAATTCATCAACATTGCTCACAAAAGGTGCCATTTCACTGCTGTCATTTTGAATTTTATGCCTCCTGGAAGTCTCTTCCACAGGGAAACTTCCCCCCCCCCTTTTTTTTTTTAACTGTGCACTATCCTCACTGGATCACCCTCTGTTGGCTGTGTGCTTATACTGCAAAATGCAGAATTCTTCCTTTTGGCAGCACTGGGATCCCTCTGCTGGCTATAGACTCTCAGTGCAGGCTCAGCCGTTTCTCTCTCTACCAGCTTGCACACTGGTCAACAAAGATAGCTGCTTCCCCATCTCTGCTCTAAACAGTTCCAGCTGGAATTGCAGTACTTTTATCTTGGGTTGTATGTTTATTTGCCTAATTCCTCCTCTCTAGCTGGCTGGTTCACATTGTCCCAGAAGCAAAAACAGCAAGCTGTCACCCTGTGCCTCGAAGTGAATTTTGTCCCCTTTTTCAAAGTCTTATTCTTTGCTTACTTTTTCTTGTTGTTGTTGTTCTATTCAGGCAATGGAAGCACTGGACACTTGTTGGGATAGAAGGTCCTTGCTGCCAATGTTGTATTTTTGGACCCAGCAAAGAAGGAGTTAGATACAGACATAGAGGGAGCTGATGGGCACACAGCTGTCAAGCTGTGCTCCCTTTATTGTTCTAGCTGCAAAAGTGAAACTCAGGCTACATCTACACTACGGGGGGGGTCGATTTAAGATACGCAAATTCAGCTACGCGAATAGCGTAGCTGAATTCGACGTATTGCAGCCGACTTACCCCGTTGTAGGGACGGTGGCAAAATCGACCTCTGCGGCTTCCCGTCGACGGCGCTTACTCCCACCTCCGCTGGTGGAGTAAGAGCGTCGATTCGGGGATCGATTGTCGCGTCCCGATGGGACGCGATAAATCGATCCCCGAGAGGTCGATTTCTACCCGCCGATTCAGGCGGGTAGTGTAGACCCAGCCTAACAATAACATGCTTTGCAGTGGGAGGGGAGAGTGCTCAAATATTTAAAGGGACAGGACATCACAGATGATACGTAGGCTCCATCCAAATTATCCTTTCTATAAATTATTATTTATTTTGGGATAACTCCAGAACTAAAAGTGCTCACTAAAGTAAGGCTATTATTTATTTAGCTAAAAAGAACAGATGCCCCTCAGGTACACAAATCATATTTTAGATAATTGTTCATAAAGGTCATTAGGTTGAAAAGTTTTTTGTTTTTCTGTTTTCTTGGAAATGTATAATCCTTTATTCCTGGAATCAAAAGCTACTGACTTATGGGGAAATTCTTCAAGGGAGTAGATTTTGGGCCAAATCCTGGTCACAATGAAGCCTGTGGCAAAACTTCCATTGCCATTGACTTGAGTGGGTCTAGGAGTTAGCCCTTAATTCTTGCACATAGAGATGGCAGAGCTAGTGGCTGATGTGTCTAAAGTTCAGCTCTGCTGACATTTTGAATTTGATTTGCTTGATTTATTTTAATCTCTCTAAAAGTGGAAGTTCCTTTCTTGAGCTAAAATAGAGTATAGTGTCTTATCCGGATGTGGCAAAATTGCTGCACCGTGATGTCCCCTCCTGGCTGGCTGTGGCACTACAGCAACTTTTGCCTCAATTTCCCCCACCTTTCAGAGCCACAGTGTCCTTTATCAAAATCCAACAAAAATATATATATATAACCAACTCAGCAGGCAATCACCTTGGTGAAGGAATGCCTCTGCTGCTGCTTCTCCCTGGTTCAGTCAGTCTCCTGATCCAAGGCACACTCCTCCCGTTACTCAGGGTTTCCCACAGGCTCCAGTTCATCAGGGTCTCCATCTTACTCAGGCTTCCAGTTCATCCCTGGAGAAGAGTATCTGCTCTTTCTCAATCTGAGCCTTCTTTGCAGGCTGCTTCCCAGAGAGAGGGCACTTCCTATCTTTTCTCTTCTGGTTCTTCCCCAGCAGGGCTCACTCAGCTCTTTATCGAGCCAAAACTCTTCTCTACCCCAGTTGGGCTTTATTTCCAATTAGTCCTGGCTCACCCTCCAGGTGCACCCAGGCTGGTTAATTGGTCTGAGGCCTATATTAATCCTTTTACAACCTGTGTGGGATAATCACCCCATCACAAAGGAGTTTACATTTTTAGATTAAAAATATGTTTTTACAGGATCTAAGTTAAAATGATAATTTTGTTAAATAGTTTTATAATTCTAATTCTAAAATAAGAGCGAGTCAGATACTTTTTTATTACTTCATTAACAAATATCCTGTGTGATATTTCTTATTGTATACTTTGCACAGTACACGTAAACTATTTGTTGTTAATATTCTGGGAAAGAAAAATTAATCAAGTAAGTAAAAGCTATATATTTTATGAAAACAGAATGAGCACATTCTCCTGTTATTTCACGTTTGGTGCTTTCCTTTTCAAATATTTCTTCTGCATTGAGCTATACAGGCTTTAATGTCCGTGATCATTTGAGGTTTTTTGCTGTTTGAGGTAATAACGATCCTATATATACTTCAAGGCCTATCGCTAAACTGTTTCTGTTCAGTCTCAGACTTTATTAGCCCAGGATGTGGTAATTATTGAATTAACAGGAAGCTCTCTCAAGTTACTATATTGCCCTTTCTTCTTTTCGCCTTTGTCCTCTGAGAGAACTGTCTAGAACAAAGTCCGACTCAGCTTCGAACGCTGTCCACTATGTCACTCCATTTAACTTTAGTCTTCCTGCTATCTCCCTCCCATAAAAAAAATCTTATCCTACTTTCTTCCCCAATTAAGAGCAGCTCCTTTAAAATTAAGTCATATTTAATGTCTGAAGTTATGTGGGCTGATATGGTAGTGAGGAAACAAAATTTTGAGAGTAGCATGTTTGTAGTCATCATGTGGCTAAGGAGTTTTGAGGAGCGACAGTGATAGGAGTGTGATAGTAGCCAGAGTTGAGTGATTTGGGTAGGACATATATAATTTGAATATATTTGTAGTATTAGCATGTGTTCATGTACTTGAAGACTGTATTGTAATGTATTCACACCGGGGAGCATAGCAAACTTAATGTTGGCATTTCCTGATTTTTGAGTGCTTAATCATGAAACCCATATAATTTTTGTTTGGAATATGTATTTAGGATGTTTGAACTAGTAACTGAGAATTGTGAATTTTAGTCTGTTTTCTTCCATGTGATGTCTGTCATCTGACTAACAAGTCCAAGATAGTATGCTTGACTGCTTGTTCCGTCTGTGAATAAATGTAGAATTAATTTTGACATAATTCTGGCATTTGTTTTACAACATACAGCTAGTTCTCCAAATTGCTTTTGGTCCCAGCTATGAAAGCAGTAAGGGGACATCCCTTCAGATTTTCAGCATTCTTAATCCACATGAACATAGTGCACTTATACGATGCTATTGACAATCACATGCAGTTTGGAAAGAAAATTCAGTGATAGGATGATTGATTCACTAACTTTCTCGCAGTATTAAATCAGGATTTTCTTTTAAAAGAAAATGGTCTCAGCTTTCTCTTCCCATATCCACTTTTTTTAAGGTTGCAGAATTTGCAGAAAGAAAAATGCTAGAAAAGCGTCAGGAAGAAGAAGATAATGTGGCTGAAATTTCCAACCTCCTTCGAGGAGACTTGCTTTCTGAAAACCCAGAACAAGCAGCCAGTTCGTTTGGGCGACATCGTGTGATTACTGATCGATGGAAAGGAATGAACCAGGATCAGTTGATGGCAATACGTTACACTCAACAGCAACAAGTTCTGGAGAAACTGGTATTCAAACCCATTTGCTTATTGTATTATTAGCTGGAGTAGTAATATAGGCAGGGCTGGTAGCACTGCCAATTATTAAGGTGGCTTGACACTTCACATTATAAGATCCTGTTTTCAGTAGCTTATAGCTTCGTAACAGCCAGACTTCAGCTGATTGGGCTGAATTTTTCCATGTAACACGTCTTTTTCAGGATGGATTTGTCTGGAAAAGTTCAACCAAAATGGTCCAGATATTTCTGAGAACAAGGCTAGAGAAAAATATGTTGTTTTGCCATGTTAAATTCTGGCAACATTTTCTTTGAGAAGCTCTAGTGCCCCCATGCTTTGTAGTGGGGACTTGAAATTTGGCAGGGGTATTCTTTGTGTTAGGGATGTTCCTTTTGCTGTTCCTATGAAAATCCACCCACATTTGGCCAAGTTATAAGCCTCTGAAAAATCTTTAATAGCCAAAATCTGTGAAGATTCCATTCTCACTGAACATGCTTCATCCCCTCACAACTCCTAGTGCTGATCAGACTGCACATGCACCAGCGCCACATTGTGACTGAGCAGGTTTCAGCCGAAGGCTCTGGGGGCTGGCCTCTCCTTGGAATTGCTGTTCCCAGATGTTCTGGGCTAGGATAGGGTCATGCACTAGATTGAATTCAAGGAGTCTGACTCTCCTGTGCTTTCAATAACTGTCCTGCTGGCACTAAGGAAGCATGGAGTAGTAAGCTGTCTAATTAGAATGCAAAAGGACAAGAGTCAGACTGGAGGGGAGAGAAATTAGTACATTGGAACAAGGAACCTGGTGAGATTGGGACTGGAGAGTGGAAGAGAGTAAACCTGTGACTGGGGGCTGGAGGAGGGACTGGGAGCTGGGGGTGGAAGACTGGGACAGGCTGGGCAAGACAATTGAGGCTGGGAGTGAGAGCCAGGGGGAGATTGGGACTGGCTCAGGAAGGACACTACAAGTGGGGGCAGGAGGGGAGGCTGGAATTGGGAGTCGGTGAAGGAAATGGTGGAGGGGACTGATAGCCAGGTAAGGGGAGGGGAACACTGGATCTGATAAGAAGCTGGAGGGATATAGAGACACTAGGAAATTTGGACAAGGAGACTGGGACTGTAAACTGGTGGGGGAATATGGGCAGGGTAGGGAGGAAAGCCAGAATGCCGGAGGAAAGCCCATGAGAAAATGAATAATTCTCTTTTCAGAGAAGGTTTAAATAGTGTGCAGTAAATAGGGCATGTGGCCATACAGTGAACAAAGAGGAGAAAATACTGAAATTGCTGCTCACTGAGTGATCACTATCCATTTTGTGCACTGAATGAAAGAGGGATCCTTCAGAAAAAAATCATCTTTAATTACGTAATCACATACTATCCTAATTCATATACATAAGGGGGCAAGTTAAGGTTCAAAAGCAACCTTAATTCTGGCATATCCTAACTTTTGAGTGCTTGACATTGCAACCTTAATAATGTTCTTTTAATATAGTCTTCTGTGTGTAATTTTAAGAGACTGATCTGTCAATAGATACATTATTTTAAATTCCAGGAGCTGTGTTTCATACCAGCATGTTAATGTTCATCATAAAGGAGCTAGTTAATATGACAAGGAGTTGTCCATCTTTAATTTAACTTAATTTTTTAAGTTTCACCAGCCCTGAACAACTGTATTATGTCTTTTCACAGAGACACCAAAAGCAGTTTAATTTTGATTGACAGATGTACACAGTATAGAGCTGCCTCTTCTGAATCTGTCTAAAAGGTGGTATCAAAGCTGTGATGCACACGGGGGTTGGAGGTAGTGATAGACAAATTTTGTAAATATAGGGTGTATTGGAGAAGAAGGAAGTTTCTGGGTCAAAAATTATGCCAAGACAACAGATAATGGGCTTGATTTACTCTGAAATCCACCTGGAGGAGGGAGTGCACAGTACTACAACTACACTGCAACCCCCTTTCTACAAGGAGACACTGAGCTGCCAGCACAACCTCAAATGTAGATAGCACTGGCCATGAAGAGAACATGGCCAGTCTGACCAGATTTGCACCAGTTTAGTGAATCTTCTCAGATACCATCCTTTAGTGGGTCTCCTACAGAGAGCTTTGACTGCATTAAAAGCTTTCTTCCCCTGAGTATAACCCCCTAGGAGAGGGCGTAATGAAACCACTGCCTGCCTTCCCCTGGGGATGAATTTCCTCCAGGACACATCAGCTACTGCTGGTGGAGGAGGGTGCAATGTTCATCCTTCTGCCATAGCAGGGATGAATCAAGCCCGTTTAACCCATTTGTCTTTATCACATGAGTAAATTTGCTAATAAGATTTTTAAATATTGTTTTATCTGTGATTGTGAAGAGAAAGCAAACATTTCTTTTATTCCTCCAGAGGCTGCAGGAGGAAGAACGGCAAAGAAATGCAGAGTGGGACAGGCAACGTATACAGGCCGCCAGAGCACAACTTCTTTTTGAGCGGCATCAACAGCGACTAAATCGAGAACTTCGCAGAACTCTGGATAATGCTAATGCACAACTCTCCCAGGAGCAGAAATCAAAGTAAGTGCATAGAGGGGTTAATCTATATCAGATAAACTCTTTCCCATTGACACAACAGCTTGGCATTATAAAATTCCTTAGCGAGCCTGCTGTACTTGTCATAAGATGTTTTGACATGGATTGCATTTTAAAAAATTGCAAGTTTAGAGCAAGTGTCTGAATGTTGTAGTATGAGGAAAAAAGAAAACTGTTCCTAAGTTATACTGTTTGGAATAATGGCTCAAATACTGACAATTTCTGCTGAGGTCATTGTGTAAGTGTCACATTATGTTCATTGTACATAGACAGCAGAATAAAGATAGAAAAGTGGGGAAAAGATTCATAGATTCCAAGGCCAGAAGGGACCATTATGATCATCTGGTCTGACCTCCTGTATAACACAAGCCATAGAACTTCCCAAAAATAATTCCTAGAGCAGGCGTAGGCAACCTATGGCACGCGTGCAGAAGGCGGCACGCGAGCTGATTTTCAGTGGCACTCACATTGCCCGGGTCCTGGCCACCGGTCCGGGGGGGCTCTGCATTTTAATTTAATTTTAAATGAAGCTTCTTAAACATTTTAAAAACCTTATTTACTTTACATACAACAATAGTTTAGTTTTATATTATAGACTTATAGAAAGAGATCTTCTAAAAACATTAAAATGTATTACTGGCACGCGAAACCTTAAATTAGAGTGACTAAATGAAGACTCGGCACACCACTTCTGAAAGGTTGCCAACCCCTATCCTAGAGCATATGTTTTAGAAAAACATACAATCTTGATTTTAATATTGTCAGTGATGGAGAAGCCTCCATAACCCTTGGTAAATTGTTCCAATGGTTAATTGCTCTCACCATTAAAAATGTACACCTTATTTCCAGTCTGAATTTGTGTAGCTTCAATTCCAGCCACTGGATCATAGGTGCCAACCCCATGGGTGCTCCAATGAGCTAATCAGGGGCACTCCCAAACAGCTGATCGGCGGCTGCAGCCAAACAGCTGTTCGGTAGCTCAGGAAGGGGCTTGGGGAAGGGTGGAGAGCAGCAAGCTGTGGGGGTCTTGGGAGGGGGTGGAGCGGGGGCAGGAAAAGATGAAGTGAAGGTGGGGCATTGGAAGAAGAGGCTGAGTGGAGGCGGGCCCTTGGGGTAGAGCACTCCCAGGGAAAACTAGAAGTCGGCACCTATGCACTGGATCATGTTAAACCTTTCTCTGCTAGATTGGAGAGCCCGTTATTAAACATTTCTTCCCCATGTAGATACTTTCACAGTGTAATCTATCACCCCTTAACCTTCTCTTTTGTAATAGTCAGAAAAGGGTAATACATACAATTAAAGTATTCTTAATACTATATATGTCTACGTGATTCAGCTCACTCTCTTGGAGTCAAAAAGGATGAGACTCCATTGAGTTCAGTAGAGCAATGCCATCAACAGCTCAGGATAAGGCCCAATGGCAGAGTTCAGCCATAAAGAACCATCAAGTATTGTCATAAATTAGCTTAACAGTGGACAGATATGTGTGCTTGCTGTGAGGATAAAGAAAAATTAAAAAGAGCATGTTTAAAAAAAAAAAATCACTGCAAGCCAGTGTCAAAATCCCAGTCTTTAACTATTTGATTTTTCAGTGCATGCCTAGATTTTGTGCAAGAAATTCCTGTACCTGACAATTTCCTGGTCTTAAAACAATATGAAAGAATTCTAAGGCTACATTAATACTGTTTTCTCAACACTGGCATAGTAACATTTTGGGAACATGATTTTAGGGGGCGGGGAAGGATTTTTATGTCAACTTGAGAAAATTGAGTTATATTTATTTATTTTGATTTAGTATTCAACTAAAATATGTAGTAATATATATAGTGTAATACATTTGTACAGGATTGTGTATTTCACATTATTTTTTTGATTTTTAAAAATGTTCAGAAATTTAAAACATTTACTAATTGAGTCTATTTGATTTATTTCTAGAAAAATTTATCTTCAGGAGGAAGTGTATTCAAATTTTCCAACAGGCCAATATTTTACACAGTTTAATACAACTAGCCGGTGACCTATGAGACACATCCACTCTCTGAAATATAAATTTATGTAAGGTTTATAGAAATAAAGTTTGATTAACTTTCACTGCTTTTCTACATTTTCTCCCAGATTTCCAGTTAAGATATTTGTGCATTAAAACAAACCCATATTGTCCTGATGGCATATACTTGTAAGTCATAAGCCTGATGATTATTATTCCTCATAATTAATGAGAAATATAGAGATTGCTGCTAATTCATGGTTTTGGTTTGAGGGATATTTTTATAATTAACATTTCTCAGGAGGAAAAGGAAAATAACTGCAAATAACACTGAAATGATTATTTGAGTGCTAATTTAGAGAAGTTATTGGACCAAATCAATTCCTGGTCTGATTCCATCCCAATGAAGAATTTGGCCCATTGTGGAATATTTTTTTTTTAATTTGTATTTCAGATTTTTTCACTACTCATTTTTACTGCATTGAAGTTCATATTTTGACTGAAACCTTCCTTTTACAGATTACAGCAATATTGAGATTACAGCATGATTGTCAGATAACTTAAAAAAGTATAACAAAACCTGATCTTCATATATGCTTTTCAGAGACCATACTCTATTTTAAAATGCAGGAGGAAGTATGGGAGGAGTAATTGCTATTGTTGAGAGCAAAGAAAATGAAATGATTCTGAATATTTATCCATAATTTTATATATATAAATAAATAGAATTGAATTAATTTTATTAGTACTCCCAATTAAAGTTATGTGCAGTTACTATAACCCTTGTTAGTTTTTCAACAATAAAACACTAAGGTCACTGGGTTGGGGTTTTTTAAGTGTTTTCAGTGCTTGTTGAAAGGTGAAAGATTTGATAGAAATGGAACTTGAAATAACCTGATGAGCTGCTGAACAGATGTTACAAAGGGAGCAGCACTGCAAGCTTGTTCTCCATGCCCCCACAAAAACGCACTGCGCCTAGATAACCATCCTGGAGGCCACCCTTATCTGGCATAGAAGGGAAATATGTTAGCTGGAACTATTTTCAAACCTTGCTGTTTCCAGAAAGCACTAATAGGTTCTACACTGGCTTCTTTGGCTAGCATAAACCAGTTAACCATGTTATAAACTATTTTAGAACACAATTTTCTGGAAAACATTTATTTAAAAATACTTCTGACTAATATGATTTCCCGCCAACACAGGGCCAGGGCGTGAGCTGTTGCAACCTCTGTGTCCACATTGCCAGGATATTGGGACCATTGGTTTCTGTAAATGCAGATCTGCAGCTTCTCTTCTGGCCTAATCTTCCATAGTGGGCATATGCAGGGCTAGCACCAAAAACTTTCCCCCCAAAGTGCAGGGGGAGTGCAGGGACTCCTGTGCAGCTGCTCAGCAAGCAGATCCTTCAGACAGTCCCTATGTGGAGATAAAGTGGTGCAGTTCTCCTCACTAACATGATTCTCACACCTATATTTCACATGCGTCAATGAGAGCATCTCATATAACACTTTTAATTTACATTTTTTAGGACTGTTCAAGCGATTAAAAAAATTAGTCGTGATTAATCTCACGATTAATCACTCTATTAAACAATAATAGAATACCATGTATTTAAATATTTTTGGATGTTTTCTACATTTTCAAATGTATTGATTTCAATTACAACACAAAATACAAAGTGTACAGTGCTCACTTTATATTTATTTTTGATGACAAATATTTGCACTGTAAAAAACAAAAGAAATAGTATTTTTCAATTCGACTAATACAAGTACTGTAGTGCAGTCTCTGTCATGAAAGTTGAATTTACAAATGTAGAATTATGTACAAAAAATAACTGCATTCAAAAATAAAACAGTGTAAAACTTTAGAGCCTACAAGTCCATTCAGTCCTCCTTCTTCAGCCAATCGCTCAGACAAACACGTTGTTTACATTTGCAGGAGATAATGTTGCCCGCTTCTTGTTTACAATGTCACCTGAAAGTGAGAACAGACGTTCGCATGGCAATTTTGTAGCTGGCATTGTAAGATATTTATGTGCCAGATATGCTAAACATTTGTATGCCCCTTCATGCTACAGCCACCAGTCTAGAGGACATGCTTCCATGCTGATGACACTTGTTAAAAAATAATGTGTTAATTAAATTTGTGAACAAACTCCTTGGAGGAGAACTGTATGTCTCCTGCTCTGTTTTATCTGCATTCTGCCATATATTTCATATTATAGCAGTCTCGGATGATGACCCAGCACATGTTCTTCATTTTAAGAACACTTTCACTGCAGATTTGACAAAACAAAGAAGGTACCAATGTGAGATTTCTAAAGATAACTACAGCACTTGACCCAAGGTTTAAGAATCTGAAAGCCTTCCAAAATCTGAGACGGACGAGATATGGAGCATGCTTTCAGAAATCTTAAAAGAGCAACACTCCAACGCAGAAACTACACAACCCAAACCACCAAAAAAGAAAAACAACCTTCTGCTAGTGGCATCTGACTCAGATGATGAACATGTGTCGGTTCGCACTGCTTTGGATCATTATCGAGCTGAACCCGTCATCAGTAATTCAGCTCAGATTTCTGTGAAACTGAGGGCTTTGATTATTTCTCAAACTTAATGCTCTTCATTATGGTTATTTACCAATTTCCCCCCCGCAAAAGAATCCTGGCTTATTGAAAAAAGCCAGTATTTGGGTTTTACCAATTTTTTTAACCCAAATTTGGGCTTTTTCAGGACCTAGGAATTTTTCTCACGGGAAGTGGACTGGGCCGCACTGAAGGGCTGGCGGAGTCAGCAGAGGGCCGTGTCTGGTGGGGGGGGTGTCAATACTCACAGGGTGCAGCCTTCTGCTGCCGTCTTGACTCCAGTCCTTCAGCACAGTTCCATTTGCTTCCTCTGTATGGGGGGGGGGAGGGGGGAGTGAGACAGGAAGGGACCCAGGTCCCAGCAGCCAGCACTGCTCAGCCATTGAGATGACGGGCCCACAGGGAGCGGAGCTCTCTATTATTTTCCACCTTGCAAACATTGTTAATGTTCATAATAAACACTACAAATCACCTTCAAAAAGTTGTACTTTAGTATAATTTCACTCACATTAGTGTCTTTAATGTCCCTTCAGCCAAGATTCTTGTAGCCAAAGAGGAGATTAGATCCATAGATGAATACAGATAGGCGAGTAAAGATGATGAAGAAGAGCATAAATGTGCCCAATAGAATATACATGCAAATTAATGGTGTTAGTGCTTATTATGGAGGTAATGTGGAAATGGGAGCAATACCTTCACTCTAACAAAAAAGCAAAAAAACAATGCAGTTGTTAATGAGTCAATACAAAAATTCTCACTAAATTCAATGGGTTTTGGATCAGACCTTAGACCTTTAATCTCTACATACAGTTTTTGTACTGGCTAGTTGTTTGGGTTTTTTTGTTTGTTTTTTGTTTTTTAACCAAAATAGTTAAATCGGTACAACCTTTACTATGAATGTAGTAATACCAGTGTAAAGATGCCTAGCATAGTTTATTTCCTTTAATGTACAAGATTAAGCTGTATTGGTATCCACATTAGGCGGTTGTACTGTTTTAACTATGCCAGTTTCAAGCCAATATAGTTAAAGTGGTACAAAAATTGTATGTAGACCAGCCTTTTCAATTACCAGCTTGCCCTCTATAATACCTTTTGCAAGTTGGCGAGGTATAAATTACGTTCCCTTTCATGTGAATATGAGTTGGCTAACTACATATATGGAAATATATACAGAGGTGAGATCTGTTGATCTATCTAAGTACTTATGTGCCTCATCTCTGTATTTCCATTCCATGGACCTCTGAGCATCTAAATCAGTGGTCCCCAACCTTTTTCGTCTGGCGGGCACCAGATAACGAGCATCCGCCGAAATGCCACTGACAAGTAGCAACGTCAATAGGCGTCGCCGCCAAAATGCCGCCAACAAGCAGAGTCATCCAGAGATGTCGCCGCCGAGATGTCGCCGCCGAAATGCCGCCTCTGGATGACGCTACTTGTCGGCTGCCAGTACCGTAATGGAATCTGTCTGCGCCTCCCCTCCATTACTGCACAGTTGGCTCAGCAGAGGAGCTTGGACTGAAGAGTTGGGGGATGAACTGGGGAAGGGGGAGGAGCTGGGGCTAGAGGCGGAGCTGACCTGGGGGAGAGAGGGAATGAGGGCGGGGCAGAGCTGGGCTGGGGGCAGAGTGGATCTGGGACTGGGAACGCAGCTGGGCTGAGGACAGAGCAGAAGGTGGAGCAGAGCTGTGACTAGGGATGGAGTTGGGCTTTGGGCTGGGTGGCATTTCTGCTCCTCCACACAGGGGGGCTGGCCTATGCCCCACCACACCCCCAAATGCTCCTCTGTGCCCCCTCGGGGACTGCGCCCCACAGTTTGGGGACCACTGCTATAATTATTTGGCTTTGTTAAGCATCAGCAAGCACTAGAGACTCATCTGTTGTTATTAATATTGAAGGGATATCTGATGTCTGCTATTATAAACAACAAGGGAAATAAGTGAGTTCATATGGTGGAAATTAATTGTAGGGTGGAGGAAAAAAATGCTACTCTTTATGTATAGTTATTTCTATTTTATGTATCATTTTTCCTGTGACGATCTTGTCACATGTTCTCAGCAGTGACACTCTTTTTATATTTATCCTTTTAGAATACTTCTTCAATTTGGCCCCAGTTCTCTACTACTTATTTTAAAATCAGAAAAGATAAAGCAAACCACTAATACAATACAGTTATGGATGTTTTAGCCCCTAAATGTTATTTGTCATGTAAAGTAAAAGATTGATCTAATTAGTATATAATATGTATTTAAATTCATAGACCATATTTAACCTCAAAACTTTTAATGATACACTCTACAGCCATGCTGAATATCCAGAAATATGGTTGATGATATTCAACAAGACAAAGAAATTATTTATAGGTAGAGATGCATATAGATTTCTGTATAATCAGAAAAAAATCAGTTCAGGAATGGACAACCTAACTATCTATCCATTTTCTTAGTTTTGATATGTTAGATCCAAATTACATTTTTCCACAGCTTTTATTAAAATGTTTTAACCATGAAGATAGTTAAT